GAACTTAAAATGCCACTCAAAAATGTTTCTTCTTTTTTAGACCCGGAGAACTGATTTTGTCTGCTTATGTAGCATAGGCCCTGCAAATGATTGCCCGGTAGGTTGTCGAGGATTCGGACACTTTTTCTAGTAGTGTGCGATAAAATTCTTTTCCAGTGCTTTCAATTCCCGGAAGAATCGGTGACATTTGCGAGGGTGGCGTGGGCCATTCCTTCCCTGACTTCCCAGTGGCATTGGCCGGTGCTAAAAATAATCTCGAAAACTCCCCGTCTTTTGCAGATAAATTGTTGCACTGATATGGATCCATGTTAGAAGTCATGGCGGCCCCAGAAGGGATGTGCAATCAGACAGATTTAGAAATTTTGATTAAAAACATACTAAATAAACTAATGGTTGAAATTTTAAAAGAGAAAAGACAAACTAATGGTCGGAATTTTACATGAGCAAAAAGAATGGATCGGAATCCAAATCTGATATCCCTTCACCGCTGAGCTAATCTACTAACTCGGATGTATGGAAAAAGTGGATGTGGAAAGTACAAATTTCTAGGCGATGGAAAAGTCGCCGGTCACATGGGTGGAGGATTTAATGGATTCAGACTGTGGAGATCAAGGCGATGATTTAACGGATTCAGACTATGGATTACTCCATTTCCATCTTTTTCCCCGATCTCCTGTTTTGTTCGCATCCCTATAGGTATTTGGCTGCCAACTCTGGATACAAAAACCTGATGGTCCAGAACAATTCACCAACGCATGTGAGACATACTACCTACCACACGTACACTGTTTATATAAAGTACCTATCGTGAAATCGCAATAGCGTCCCCATATAAAAGTGCCATGCAAATTTTAGGGATATAGACTGTGAATATCCGTGACCAGAAGACTGGAAGAAGACGGGGAGGGCTTGGAATAGTCTATGTATTAATATACGCAGCTGATAAAAACCCTCAAAATTATCCAGAATGAATGGAAATGACCCACAATAGAAAATTTAAATCTTTTTTCGAAAATTTTCCACGGCGTACCTTCCGGAAGGAATTGGTATCGAATGCGAAAACCGGAATAATGATGAGTGTGCGAGGAGTGAAAGCGTATGTAGATGAAGCTTTGCATGGTGTGCAGCGGTGCCGGAAGCTGAGTGCCACAGAAACGCTCACCGATGTGCTCGCGACCTTGCCGATCCACAACGGTCACGATCAGGTAATCGTTGAGGCATTGGTTGGAGCGGGCGATGCGAGCCTCAAGCTCGAAATGCGTGAAAGTGAGATGGATGACCAGTTCTGGGGAGGCAGTGAGGTTGAAAAGGCAATCCTGGTTCGGCGGATACGGAAGCGGATAGTTCGGTGATGTTAAATAGCCTTCCGACATCTCGGTACCGTGCACCGTCCACGGCTCACATTCGTTTTCGGGCTTTGTAGCAGCAACCATAAGCACCAGCGACAAGAGCAACATTCATTCATTTACCGCTCTCCTTCTTCCTCTTCTTCTTCTGTTGCGAATATTCCCAGTCACACAGTACTCCAGGATTTACGCGAAGTGTCTCTGTGTGGCGGTCACCCTGTGGTCAGTTCTTAAGAATTATTACAAATTTAACAGCTTTCTGTCAACAAAACACAATAAATCAACAGAGCACAGCAAAATAACAGAACAACAACAGTGGAAAAACAAACATCCGGATGCACTGGCCGGATAATAATAGCAGACGAATGCTTCACCGAGATTCAAAATCCCATCTCATCTGAGGAGGAATGTTCGGTGATCATCTAGGGTCGGGATGAAGCAGGAACAGCAGCAGTAGCCGTTAGTCTCAGTTCTGGCCATAGCGTTTAAGCCGA